GCACTACACCAAACTAGACTGCCAAACCTCCATGTGGGGCCTGGAATTAACAGCTGATCTTCAGACTGTAGAGATGAGTTCCTGTGGAGGAAATGACATCTTTGGAGGGTGGGTCCTGTGGCATCACTTCCCTGCCAATCATCCTCCACTCCCCAAACTCCACGCCCCTCCCCATCTCCACCCCTAAAGCTCCAGGACTTTCCCAGCCTGAAGATGGCAGCCCTAGTTGGGTGGGATTGCGAGTTTACGACCTGGATTCTTCTCCTTGCTCTTTTAGATCCTCCATTTCAAATGGAATACAAGAAAACCATGGCTCTTCTGTTTCTCCTCACTCCCAGGTCCTGGTCTCTCTCTCCCCCTTACCCAGTTTGGTGTCATGGTTAAGTGTGCGGACTCTAATCTGGGACAAGCAGGTTTGATTCCCCACTCCTCCGCTTGCAGCTGCTGGATGACCTTGGGCAAGCCATAGTTCTGTCAGAGCTGTTCTCTCAAGGGCAGTTCTCGAGAGAGCTCTCTCAGCCCCACCTACCTCACAGGGTGTCTGTGGTGGGGAGGGGAAGGGAAAGGAGTTTGTGAGCCGCTCTGAGACTCCGAGTGAAGGGTGGGGTATAAATTCAATCTCCTCCTCCTCCTTCCTCCTCCTCCATGTATAATGTGAAAGATTCCTAGGTGTGCTGTAGGGTGGGGTGGATCCAACCATCCTTCAGGTAGCCTTCCTCCCACCTGAGAAATCTTCCTCCAGTGGAAGAGCTGCTTAATTTGGAGGAGGGCTTCCAACATGAGCTGAAAGGAAAGGGAGGGTATAAATATTTTAATAAATAGGTAAACTTGGCACACTGGAGGGATAGAATTGGGGGAGGATCCACCCCAGCAGTTGGGAGGGCTAGAGAACAAACCTGTGTGTAATAAACTGGTGGGGTGGCGAAATAAGGTTGCCAACCTCCCCGTGGAGCCTATAGTTCGCTTGGAGTCACAACTGACCTCTAGGCTACAGAAATCAATTCCCCTGGAGAAAACGGCAGCTTTGATGGGTGAAATCAATGGAATTACGTCCCTACTAAACTCTTAGGTTTCCCTTGCTCGAAAGCCAGTCGGATCCGACTCCAGGGTTGCGGTGCTCATCTCCGTTTCCAAGCCGCAGAGCCAGCGCTGTCCAAAGACATTTCCGTGGTCATGTGGCCGGCATGACTAAATGCCGAGGCACAGGGAACGCTGTTCCCTTCCCACTGAAGCGGTCCCTATTTATCTAATTGCTTTCGAACTGCTAGGTTGGCAGGAGCTGTGGCCAGACTCGGGTCTTGAACTGCCGAACTACCGACCTTCCAGCCTGCAGTCCATTGCACTAAACTCTTAGTAGAGGGCAAAACGTTTAGCTTAGCCGAGAGCAAAGCCCTCTGATATTTTGGGACAGTCAGTTAACAAAGATGAGGTGGAAGGGTAAGAGTGGTCGGCTCAGGATAGCAAAAAGCCTTGCCGAGAGCCAGCTGACAGTCCGGTGCCTCCAAGGCTCTATCTGGAGACAGTCTAGCGGCCTGTAGGCCAGTAGACAACAACCAGGTGAAAGCAGCGCTTTGGCCTCTTCACTCTGGGAGGCATGCTGCGATTGCAGCGGGAACTCCAAAATGTGTCTCCAGGGAACAGCTGGACGTTAGGGTGAAGGATGACACCTGGGACCAACATCCTCTGGGGCAGTGAGCTGGCCCTTTTGACATCCCGGGAAAGTGTTGCAGTGGGCGGCCGTCGTGGAAGGTCACTGGCCACCGGAAGCTGGCTCCGCAGGTCCGCATAGAGTTGCCAGCCTCCAGCCCGCGAGCACTCACGCTGTATCAAGCTGAATGTAAACATAGATTTCAAGGTCTGCAGGGTCAAACACTCCTCAAAACAGACTGAACATGCAGAGGAAAAACCTTTTTTGACTGCCGTGGTACCTTCTTCTTCACCCAAAGAGTGATTAACACATGGGATTCGCTGCCACAGGAGGTGGCAGCGTGGACGGCTTCAAAAGGGAATTAGTTAAGCATATGGAGCAGAGGTCCATCAGTGGCTATTAGCCACAAGGTACAGATAGGGGCTCTGGGGCAAGTGATGCTCTGTCTTCTTGGTGCTTGGGGGGGTCAACAGTGGGAGGGCTTCTAATGTCCTGGCCCCACTGGTGGACCTCCTGATGGCACTGGTATTTCTGGCCACTGTGTGACACAGAGTGTTGGAGTAGATGGGCCTTTGGCCTGATCCAACATTGGTGTCTCTTATGTTCTTATGTTCTTGGTAAAGGACCGGACACGGGTCTGGAGCCGGCCCGTTGGAGCCACGACAGTTGATCAGATGTTTGGAATAATTTACATCTGCGTCGACGAAGGACTCTGCAAAGCCACTTTGAGCTGTATTATACGGAGGAACTTTGAGCACAGAGTTTGGCTTACGAGGACACTTTAAATATTTGTATATTTTGTCCTGGAATGTGTTTTGTCATGTGTACCATAATATAAATGCTTGATGATAATGCTTGGATAGATTGCGTAATACTATCACGGTTGATTTTTGTTTACCTGCCCTGTGATCTCGCGTTCGTGTAGCCTCCAGATGGGAGCTGGAGGCTTCGCAGAATGACAACCGATCCCCAAACTACAAAAACCACTTGTTTATTTTATCATCTATTTATTTAAAACATGCATTCCACTTCTCCTGGAGAAAACAGTTGCTTCGGAAGGTGGATGCATAGCATTACACCTTACCAAGGTCCCTTCCTAAATCTCACCCTCACAGATTCTACCCTCAAAATCTCCAGGTACCTCCAGACCCAGAGTTGGCACCTCTAGGGGTGCGCCGTTTGATCTGGTGTCGTCATGCTTGAGAAACGGATTTTATCTGCACGATCACATAGCCTCCTGTTCCCAGCCGTTGGTTTCCGGCTCAAAACCTCTGTAACCTGGAGTATTTTGTTACCAGGTCCCAAAGTGGTGTTTTCTCAGCCCTCCCGTTTAAAGCCGCATTTCCCCCCTGTGTGATCGCTCCTCTGGTGTCGAGCCACTTCCAGTTTAAACCCCCTCCCCGCTCGGAAGCTGCCCGAGGCTTCCGCTTTTCGCCCGCCGTTTTTTAAATGCGTCGGCGGTGTGCGCATAGGCGGAGCTCCGCTACCGTGTTTAGAAAAACGACATTTAAACGGTCACTTGTTTTAGCGTTTAGATGAGTTCGGGATCTCATGGAGGCAATTTTCGGGTCAAACGTTTAAAGGGAAGTCTTTTGTTGGCGGGGTTGGATTGATTCACCCTGGTGGTTCTGTGCATGCGCCATGGTAGTTCCTCCCCATTCTACGGAGGGGCGCCTATGCGCATGCGCAAACTGAGATTTTTTTTTAAAAAAACCCCGCTAACACACGCTCCCGTGCGTCGGTAGTGTAGACGCCGGGGAGTGACGTGACTGCGCGGTGAGGCGGGATAAGGGAGGTAAGTGTGATCGCAATTATCCAGATCAGATATAATCTGGTTAGAACCGGAGCAGTTTAACCCGCTCTCAGCACGCCATCTGACCACACCTCTCGGTCTGCCAACACCTCTTGTTACTGCTGCTGAGGTCCAAGCCAGGCAGACCCTCCAATGCCACCAGCCTTGCAGGGGCTAACTTGGCCCCACCTGCTGTGGAGATTTTTTGAACACCCCTCTCTGTCCCGGTATTCTCTGGATTCGCAGCAGTATAGGAGAGACTGACTGGTGTCGACACCAGAGACGGAAGACTAATGTGGAAACACTCTTATTAGTTGTGCGAGCAAGCCACAGGAGTACTTCTCTCCTCCCTGGGAATGCTGGGTCCCTCCTGGCCACTGGGGGGGGGTAGGGTTTGTTTGTTTGTTTGTTTGTTTGATTTATACCTCGCCCTCCCCGCAGGAGGGCTCAGGGCGGCTTACAGTAATTGGTACCGTGTACCATAAAAACCATGTACAAAATTTAAACAACTTACAGCAACAACATCAAACATTAAAAACAATCGAACAATTAGCAACTAAAGTGCTAGTGATGGTACTCTTTTGATGGCAATCTTTGAATGATTCAGATGGCGCACTAACCATTTTCATCGGCATCGGTGATCTTCAGCTTGGTGCAAATGTTCCCTCTAAGCTGTGGAGCAAAAACTCTACTTTGTGAGCTGTCGTCGTTAAAGTTGTGAGCGAGCGATTCGGCTACTGCATAAATCAGTTTGCTGTGGAGCCCTCCTTACCGAGCGAAGACACAAATGTGTGAGCCGGAGGTTAAAAAACTGTGAGCTAGCTCACACTAACTCAGCTTAGAGGGAACACTGGCGATGATATAACGCAAACCCGTCAACAACTCCGGATCGGGGAACTCCTGGAGATTTGGGGGTGGAGCCTGGGGGGGACAGGGGACCTCAGTGGGGCACAAGGCCACAGAGTCCCCCCTCCAAAACATCCGTTTTCTCCAGGGGGACAGATCTCTCTAATCTGGAGATGAGTCGTAATTCCAGGGGACCCCTATTGGGTATTGTAAATAAGAAGCGGGAGACTGACCAGTTATGAAGGTGCACAGAGAGTTTATATAGTTATAAAGTGAATGTATACAGAGATATTTACAACCTATTGAACAGCATGTCGTGCCTTAGTCTATGAGAACTGAGTCCCCTTCAGTTTACTAAGCTGATAGCTATTATGCTAAACCCCAGCCAATCTCTAATAAGGTGATGTAATCACTAACTCTAACAATGCCCGAAAGAGCAACACCTGCTAGAAAACACCTGGCTGTAATTACATGATTACTAGCATGACAGCTAGGTCTGACAAACAGATGAAACTGATCTATACTAACTGCTTGATACCTCTATCACTCTGACATATATCTCAATAACCCCCACATCCCACCTGGAGGCGGGGCATGCCTTCTCCTCCCACCATTTCCTTTTCTTTTGGGTGGGGGCTTTAATAGTTTACCGTGTTGGTTACAGTGATGCATGTGTGATGCAATTGGATTTTTTTCCCTCTCATTTTTCTTTAGAATTCCATGAACTTACCACCGGACAAAATGAAGTTACTCAGTCAATACGACAATGAGAAGAAATGGGAGCTGATTTGTGACCAAGTAAGAGAGCAAGGTGCTTCTTCTCCCCCACCCCACCCCCCACCCCAGCCTATCAGTAGAACAAATTTTAAGCCAGTTTAAAACTAGTTTTAATTTCATAGCTTTTTCCCTCTCCCGTGAATTGATGGTTGTTTGACCCCCCATCCCCAAAGTTCCTTAGGTGGGAACTGTGGTGGTTCAGATGGGGACTGTATGCATGTCTCTTCTGCAAAATAGGGTGAGTGTTCTATTTTTGCTTTATTTATTTTATTTTTGCCCATCTTATGGAACATTAAAAAAAATACCTTTGCTAACCTTCAGCCATGTAACTTGGTCAACGGCAATGCTCCCTCTAAGCTGTAGAGTCTTGTGAGCAAAAATTCTACTTTGTGAGCTGCCGGCATTAAAGTTGTGAGCGAGAAATGTGGCTGCTGCATAAATTAGTTTGCTCTGGAGCCATCCGTTCCTGAGCTGAGACCAATGTTCCCTCTAAGCTGTGGAGCCCTGTGAGCAAAAATTCTACTTTGTGAGCTGTACTGCCATTAAAGTTGTGAGCGAGGGATTTGGCTGCTGCATCAATTAGTTTGCTCTGGAGCCCCATCCTTCCTGAGCTGAGACAAAAATGTGTGAGCCGGAGGCTAAAAAACTGTGAGCTGGCTCACAACTAACGCAGCTAACTGGTCAACGGTTCATCGAATTTTTAGCCGGCAGGGGCAAGTTTGACGTACTTGCTTCGGCATTTTTATTTCTTGAGAGGCAGAGCTGTGTGTCGTTGTGTGTTCAGACCACCAGGGGACATTTGGAAAGAGGGGTTGGAGGAGAGGCTGAAGAGTCTGCAACTTTTCAGTTTAGAAAAGAGACAGCTAAGGGGGGGGGGGCATGATAGAGGTTTATACGGTTATGCATGGGATGGAAAGAGCTAGCAAAGAGCCCTTTTTCTCCCTCTCCCAAAATGCTGGAACTCGAGGGCATCCAGTGAAGCCGATGGGCAGTCGGTTCAGGATGGGCAAAAGGAACTCCAGCAGGAACTCATTAGCATAATAGGCCACACCCAACAGCAGAAACTCATTAGCATACTAGGCCACACCCCTGACAGCACAGCTCATTAGCATATTAGGTCACATCCTAGGGTTGCCAAGTGGCAATTTCTTCTTACCAGGGGACTCCCGGTCCATGGCTGGAGTGCGCGCGCCGCACGCACGTCACCCAGAAGTGACGTGACGACGCCGGGCACGCTGGGGGCGGGGCCACGACCATCCGAGGGGAAACCATAGAGTTTTCCCTCGGATGACCGTGGCCCCGCCCTCAGCGTGCCCGGCATGGTCGCATCACTTCCAGGTGACGCGAACGTCGGGGTGGGGTTCCCCCTGGAGCCTGATCCACCGGCGGCGGGGAACGGGCCTCTGGGGCGGGGGTGTGATGGCCGCAGGAATGAACAGCTTGAAAAGGGGATTAGATAGATTCATGGAGGATAAGTCTGTGAAGGGCTACTAGCCATAGGGACTGAGGGGAACCTCCACGTTCAGAGGCACTAAGCCGCTGAGTCCCAGAGCCAGGAGGCAACATCAGGGGAAGGCCTCAGCCTCTATGCCCTCCAGAGGAACTGGTCGGCCAGTGTGTGAGACAGGATGCTGGACTAGATGGACCCTCACTGGTCTGATCCAGCAGGGCTCTTCTTATGTTCTCGTGTCTCTTGGGTAATCCCTGGAAATTAGTTCTGTCCGTAGTGACCGGGAGTCCAATTCTTCGTGCTGTCTATCAGCCATCCTTTGCAACTCCCTATTCTTATTCGGTCTTCTTGCGAGATGTAGAAGATGGCTTTTAAAAATGTTATTAGCACCAAAACATATACACTTCCCCCAAGCCTTCCTTGGGTCCAAAGAAGCGAACTCCCTGCATGGGGGGGGGGCATCATCTTGACCCAGAGTGGGGTGCTGGCCTCAAATTCAGCCCAGCAGATCCTGCCTTTCCATCCCTGCTGCCCTGTTTACCTCCTGTCATCATAGTGGGATTTGCTGAGGTTGTTTGAATGGCTGCATGTGTACATCTTATTAAAGTATTCTGGGTTTTTTTGATAAAGTAAGCCATTACAGGGAGCAAGCTGAGAAGAGACATCTGAAGTGTGTTATGTGTGTGCGCGTGTTCATGTGAATGAGGGCAGGGGGTGATGTTATGAGAACAGAGGTAGCTTAAGAACACAAATGTGTCCTTGTCTTTGCCTTTGACATGTCAGAGCTAAGGACGTCTGGCCATTCCTCGTTTTCACCACAATCCCCAACAATTCTCACCAAGAGCTTCCCAGTTTGGTGCAGTGGTTAAGTGTGTGGACTCTAATCTGGGAGAACCGGGTTTGATTCCCCACTCCTCTGCTGGCACCTGGCTGGATGACTTTGGGCAAGCCATAGCTCTGATAACAGCTGTCCTTGAAAAAGAGCAGTTTCTGGAAAGAACTCTCTCAGCCCCACCCACCTCACAGGGTGTCTGTTGTGGGGAGGGGAAGGGAAAGGAGTTTGTAAGCCGCTCTGAAACTCCGAGTGAAGGGCGGGGTATAAATCCAATCTCTTCTTCTGTTCCTAACTCACTGCCAGTTTGGTGTAGTGGTTAAGTGCGCGGACTCTAATCTGGGAGAACGGGGTTTGATTCCCCATTCCTCCACTTACAGCTGCTGGATGACCTTGGACAAGCCATAGCTCTGTCAGAGCTGTTCTCGAGAGAGCTCTCTCAGCCCCACCTACCTCACAGGGTGTCTGTTGTGGGGAGGGGAAGGGAAAGGAGTTTGTAAGCCGCTCTGAAGGGCGGGGTATAAATCCAATCTTTTCCTCCTCCTCTTCTTCTTTTCTCCACCTATGCAAAGTCCTAGACTATCTGAGAATATGGGCCAGATGACCGTCCTTGTGGGGGTGATGAGGATTTTGAACCTGCTAAGCTTTTTATCAGCTCCCCGATTCCTTCCAACTTGTATTAGTGTTTTCGATAAGGACCAAGAGAAGCATGGGGCAGGGGATGTATGCGGACATGCGCAATCTGAGTGGCAGGACTGCTGTGGAATGGTGTTGGTTGCTGCATACTTGTTCAGATGTACAAAACCTCAGGGTCAAGCTTGGGAGACACCCCTTCTACCCCTTTGCTGCAGAAACTGGCTCGGCACAACACTGATTGGCTTATGCCCAAGGCATCACAAATCTACCTTTCTTCTTTCCTCCCTTCCCAGAGCGATTTTTGTGTTTCAGAGGAGGGGAAAAACTGATTAAGGGGTGGGGCACCAAATAAATGTTTAAATGGGTAAACATATAAGCACTGCTCGGGGAGAGACGACAAAACCGAATGCTGAACCAATATTCAGTTTGGAGGCAGGGGATTTGCAGCATGAAGGCAGGCGTAAGCCAAATTGACTGTGCAGGAGTGGGGGGGAATGCCTGCCAATTTCTGCTTTCAAGCAAGTGTCTTCACATCCAGGCAAAAAGTGATTTGAGAGAAATGCCGGCGTCCCAATCATCTGCTGTCGCATCAGGTCAGTGGAAAAACCTGCAAAAAGCTCTTTGGCTGGAGGTGATGCTAAGGTGCAAAAGGCTTGCAAACGGCGGGCTCTATCTCTCAAAGCCACCTTCAGCTCTATAAAAATATACTGGCCTGAGAGAAACAGGGAGGCTGCTACCGCCCCCGCCCGCCCCCGCCACCAAAGGATCTGTGAACAAGCTGTTGGAAGACAGGGTCACTTCGCGGCATGAGCGCTGCCAGAGAGACGTGTGCAAAGAGAAAAAAAAATGACTGTGAAGCTATATATTTCTCAGCTAATAAAGGAACCGACTTGTGAATGATGCTGAGAAGACAGAAAGAGAGGGGAGAGGAGTGACTCACCACCAGCCGCGCAGCAAATGTCTGCAAGGGATTCAGCCCCTTGACAGATCTGTTTCGACGGCTCTACCGCCAGGGCTATGGGGTCTGAAACAGACACCTCAGGAGCGCAGAAGGTGTCCCCTGAAACAGACACCTCGGGAGCGCAGAAGGTGTCCGCTGAGCACACGGACGGCAGCGGAGGAGAGGCCCACTGCCTCCCCCTAATTCCTTTCCTGGAGCGGAAGCGAAAACAGGTTGGCCTCCGGGCCTTGTGAACTGGGTCTGCTGGTGTCTGTCGTGACTCACAGCAAATGCCAGTTAGTGACGGGCAAGCCGGGGAAGAGCCAGTCTCCGCTAAGTGAGTGTGGACTGCGTAGGAAGTGGGGAGTGGATGTCAATTTCCTCCTTGCAGGTGTTTGGTTTGTGAAGATCTAAATGCATAAGTGTAAACGTGAGAATGTGTCTGTGGAGGAGGAAGGGAAGAGTGGGAAACGGGGAGTGCCTGCAGGAGAGGACTGCTGGAATCCAGACGGAGGAGGCAGCCGTACCCTGGGGGATATAGTAGGGTTGTCAGCCCCCCCCCACCGGCAGGGGATGAGGGAGTAGGGTGGCCAGATCCAAGCTGGGGAAGCTCCTGGACATTTGGAGGTGGAGCCTGGGGAGGACAGGGGACCCCAGTGGGGCACAATGCCATAGAGTCCACCCTCCAAAGCATCCCTTTTCTCCAGGGGGACTGATCTCTGAGGTCTGGAGATGAACTGTAGTTCTGGGGGATCCCCAGGTCCCACCTGGAGGCTGGCATTACTAGGGTACAGAGGTGGTTTATTTGGGGTGCCAAGACACAGGTACAGAGCTCTGTCCTACAAGGGGCCACTCACCCAGAAGTTCTCCTGCACAAGACCCATCAAGAAGAGGAGGAAGACGAAGAAGAAGAGGAGTATTATTATTATTATTATTATTATTATTATTATTATTAATTATACCATACCCTTCACTACCCAAAGGAGTCTTAGAGTGGCTTACAGTCTCCTTTCCCTTCCCCTCCCCACAACAGACACCCTGTGAGGCAGGTGGGGCTGAGAGAGCTCTTTCAAGGACTGCTTGTGAGAGAACAGCTCTGAGAGAGCCATGACTGACCCAAGGTCACGCCAGCAGCTGCGTCTGGAGGAGTAGGGAATCAAACC